CCCCCCGGCTACAAATCAGCTTCGGTACAATGGACTCGACCAGCTCCTCACTGCCTGCGGGTGCGGCGCCCCTGGCGGCCGAGTCGCCGGCCGGGGTTGCGGCCCCCGCGAACCCGCCCCCGACCGGCGTCAACCCCTATGCGACTCCCTCCCCCTCCAACCAAGCGGCTGGTGCTCCCGGTGGTGCATCCGATACCATGGGCACTCCGGCCTCGCCCGCTACTGCGGCTCCTCACGATAAGACGGCTCTCGGGGACGGTGACTTCCCGATGGGCGAGATGTCGTCCCAGGCGGCCGACGCCCCCCCGGCCGCTGGCTCGCCGCCTGTCTACCCCCCTGGCGGCATGAGCTATCCCCCCTCGGGACCGGGTTATCCCGCTGCTGGGCCGGGCCACCCCGGTGCGGGTCCGGGCTACCCCGCTGCTGGGCCGGGCCATCCCGGTGCGGGTCCGGGCTACCCCGGTGCTGGGCCGGGCTATCCGCCGGCCGGGCCTCCGGCAGCCGGCCCGGGATACCCTCCGGCCGGCCCGCCCCCGGGCATGGTGTATCCCCCGGCTGGACAGCCCCCGGGCATGGTTTACCCCCCGGGCACACCGGCTTCCGAGCACCCTTCGCATGTGACCACCAACATCTGGGCCGGAAGCACCACGTCCGCGGGCATGTACCACAACAAGGGATCCATTCCCGTTTGGGACGCCACGACCATCGAGTACACCGACCATGCCAGCTATCTGTCCTACTATGATGAGGTGCGTACGAGTGCATTGTCATTGGTCCGGGCTGTTTGATGCTGGCGCCCGATGCTGGCTCCTTCGGCCTGGAGTATCCCTCCTCCGCCTGGCTTCCTCCCCGGCTCGCATCTCACCACCCTGACTTCGACTTCCTGCTGGGCCTGCCCCTCCCCTCCCCCCGCCCCTCCCATAGCCCAAGCCCCTGCCTTACGTGCTCACCGGGTCGAGGCGTCACGGGCCGATCGTCGCGGTATGTCAGGCCCCTAACTTGGGCAGGGAGGGGGGCCTTGTGATCATTCTTTCCGCCTTTCTGTTCGCGCCCATTTCTGACCCGGGTGCTTGCTGTTAGATGGCCTCTTCGCTGTTTTTCGCCGTGCTCTTCATCATCGTTGGAGCGGGTATGCATTCCGACGTTTCATGGTCCTCATCGCGTGGGACATCGCGCGGGTTTCTAACCAACACACTTTTCCCCGGGTCTCCTGACTTGTGGTCGCACGGCAGCAATTGGCCCGGCGACCTACTTCCTGATTGGCGCCGGTGTGGCCATGCTCTTCCTCGGGGGCATTTACACCCTGGTACGTGGGGCCTCCTTGCCCCCGAATGCCAGTGCCGGTCTCCTCGGCATTGCAACCTACTGACGTGTGTGGTGTTTGGAAAAAAAAAACATCTTTCATTTGTGCCCCCCTCCTGCCACTTGGCAGTTCATCTACCTCATGCATGCTCGGGCCCGGCGGATGCATCAAGAACGTCTGGTGGAGGATACCAACATCGCGTTGACCATTCGCGCAGGCGGGGTCCCCCCAATGCCGGCCTTCCTTACGTGCAAGTTTTGCACCCTGACTCGTGTGAGCCGCCGCATTCACCACGCGGTTTGCATTCGCCCCGCGCACATTCCTCTGCCGCCCATCTACGCCTGCATTGGCCGCCTGGGATTCGAGTACCAGCCGATGATGCGCTTGCTCATGCGCAAGGAGCAGGGCTTCTAAGGTGCCCAGCGGGTTGCTTCCCTGCTTGGCCCCCCCGGGTCGTGGGTTTGAACATGTACCGTCCGGCTGCGCGGGGTCTTGGCCGCGGTGGTGGAGCCACCTGGTCAGGCCCCTCCCCGGCTAGTGGCACCCTTGCCTCCTTGCCTGGGCATGTCGGGGGCGAGGCACTGCGATGTGCCCTGCTCTCTTGGCGCTTTCGTGCGCACGTCGCATGGCTCCCATGCAACAGTGGGAAATACAAGATGGGAACAAGCAGAGTGTGTGTATGTGTGAGTCTGGATGGGAGGGCGGCCATGCATGAGTGCCCATGAAGCGGGCTTGTCGCGCGGGGGAGAGGGACTCCTTATGCTATTTGAGTGCCGCCCTCTCTCCTGGTGATCCTTTCTTCGGTCCCATCGGAGAGGCGGGGTCGCCGGGGAAGGCAGGCAAGCAGCAACCCCCCGTCTTCCGATGTGGGGACAACTCCGCATGGCCATCATTTCGGTCAGGGTACATGACCGAGACCCCGGTGGACTTTCGAGTGCCAGGCTCATGCCCACCTGGCATGCACATCTGCGGAGGGAGTCCAGGATGTCAGGGACTTGATTCGCAGGGGCCGTCTCCTGTCCACATGCTAGGTCGCCTGGCGTCGACAAAGAGCCCGGCCCCCTCGCGGCTGCCCTTGGACATGGGGACTGGCGTGTTGCTAGGGCAGTCCCATCGCTCATGAGCGTCGAAGCAGTCTGCGGTAGCATACTCTCTCTCTGTTGCTCCCCGATGGATCGAGTTTCTGGCAGTCTCACATAGCATGGGCCCTCGGCGACAAGAAGGCTTCGGACGTGCGCCTCCCACGCCATCGGCGGATGCCCGGTATATGCCCGAAAGGGGGCCTCCTATCGGGAGATCCATGCCATAGCATTCGAGACAGTTGTCGAGCGTCTGGACGTCCGAGGTGTGGGATGGGACTCGCAACACCACCAACTGCATGGCCTTGCTCGCGCGTGACAATGCCGGGAGCCTCGGCCTCCGAAGAATCTGCCGGGGCACGTTCGCTCCAACAAATTCGACAGTCATGTCATGCGGCTTCGAGATTTGATTGGAGCGACTGGCCAACCCCGATGATAGTCATTACTGGCCAGTCTCAACATGCCACCGGCTGAAGGTCGCTTGGACAGACCGACATCTCGATGCACGTCCCCCTCTTCCTCCCACCCTCATTCTTAGACCCTCTGCTCGGGAAATGGCCGAATGGAGCAGAGAGCCGCATCTCTATGGTGTACGGGGCGTCTGGAAAGGGATTCGGCGAACGCATGCTCCTGGGCTTGGCATTGGGAGGCCCCCTCTCAACACTAACGTAGGTCGCCCGGATGCCTTGTCGGTCCCTGACAGTGACTGCCGAGCGGGACTTCGGCCACGTGGGGCGAGAGACACGCCTGGGCGGCGAGAGGGCCGCCCAGTGACGGATGGCTATCCGGTAAGGGGAGCAAGGGAACGCCAGGTGCAGGAAATACACACCAACTGTGGGCACCGCTGCTTCAGTCCCAATGAAAGGACCACAGGCCCTTGGTTTCCGGGCCAGAGGCCGACATCCATGACGGATGAGCCTTCAGCGGCACCCGGCACACCGGACAAGCCGTCAAGAAATGGATGTCCTCTCTCGAGATGTTGCATGAAGATGACCTTCGGCGGCGGGGCGCAGAGGAAGGAGATATCCCCGTTAAAAAGGCAAGCTCTCACACCTCCAGGGGATATACTGTCAGATGGGGGGCGATGCGCACTGGACCGCTCCCTGGGCAGGGGCCGCGCCCTGCACATGGGCGAGCACTTTGTCCCGAATAAATGCACATGCCATGGCTCTTGTCAGCGGTTCGGAGGCCCCGGACTGGGCGAGGAGGCGGGAGCTATATGTCTTTCGCCGAACGATGTCCTATCGTGAGGGATGGGAGGGGGGGCAGCACACCAGAAACAAACCGCTCCCTTCGGCGGTGGAACGAGAGGCCGTCAGATATTTGCACCAGTCCATCGGGGCCGAATCCCCCCTGCTACCCCGGGCATCTGGCATCCGACCGGGAGGACCGCTCGCTGATGCGTGCGCGTGTGGGGGATGACGGCGACGAGCGGTGAATGGGCCCCTAGGTCCGTCTGCTGGCTGGGCCGGAAGAACACCACTGAGGAAAAGGCATCCGAAGGGCATTCCCGCCGTCCAGCTTCTGTCATTCGGTACCTTGCCTCTTTCTCGGGCGAGCAACACTCTGGCGGGGACCGACATCGTGCAGGGAGCGGTCACGGAGGCGAACTTCCCGGCGACTTCAACGCCTCGGCCGTATTTCGGGCCCCATGGCGTGGCCCCACGGGCACGCTCGAAGCAAGCAGCCTATCATCTCTCAGCCGTGAGTGCATCGATGTGAGGAGCAGCTCGCGTGCAGCTTCAGAAAAACCGAAAATACCGTGGATCACCTCCCTCTCTCTCTCTCTCCGGGGCGCCTCACAGGCTTACGATTCCGGCGACTGGTCCTGATCCGGCACCCTGCGGCTTTCCCGGGCTGGGAGAGGCATCCATCAAACAAGCCCATCGGGACCAGATGCCCGGCTGGCATCCGACGCAATGCCACGGATTGGCTTGCTTGGCCCATGCTCTCGGGGGCCCTTGTGACATGCTATTCCCGGGGGGCACTTCCTCGCCGGAACGAGCGGAAGCGCTCCCGCGAGTGTAAGAGGCCCATGTAGGATCACCGTAGGCGGAAAATGCCGGGGGGGGGGGGGGGGGGGGGGG